CTTCAGAAAATGATTGTATCGTAATTCGATAATGTACTGTATTTCGATTGTCTTTGATTTTTATCATCGTTCAAGTTTTATAAACTTGAAATAAATTTATCGGGTACTTATCTGTTGAATGGACTATATGTTGGCAGAGTTGCTAAGTTTCCTGAGTTATCAACATCGCCAACATTGGAACCTATAACCGATAGTATCGAAGTTTAATACCGTGATATGTTGCTAAAAATATAGATACTTCACAATCTGTAGCAGTATTTTTTCAATTTAATTAATTTATACTATTTTAACATTGGTAGATATTCTCGTTACCCAAATAAAATGTAACAACTTTCACAATAATATCGTATTCAATAATTTTCGTCATGTATGAGATTCGCGATGTTATTTTTTAGATATGTTAGCTATAATGATTGCCATATTGCCGTATTTGATACAATTATCAACAATAATCGTGATATTATCGTATTCGATATGTATGATTCTCATTAGTGATCGTGATGCTGTGGTATTTGAGGTACTCATCTGTATTGTAGGTAACCATTGACCCATGTAAACCAGAATCTGGAGCTGTTCCTGCATTTTGGTGAACGTTCCTGCATGGTTTGTAAAACAAATAAGTACTATTTATCTTTTTGTGGAAATAAATAATTTAGATATCAAATTTACTATATAATAATTCCCAGTAGTTATGTTAATTGTATACTACAATATGGACTAAATTAAATTAAAATATAAAAATACTGCAATAGCTCTAATAGTTTTATAGCATTTTTTGGTGCTTAAGGTGTAATTTATGACTCCTTAAGGAGTGATAAAGTAAGGAGTAATAAAATAAGCCTAAATTTATTTTTAATGCATGGCTTACAGAAGGGATAAACTCTGTTAAACACATTAATAAAGCAAAATAATGTTGATAAAGCTCAAATCATGGCGCAAAAACTTTGATTTTATAAACAGAAACATTCCTCAGTGTTTAAACTCAAAATAACGGGTGAAAGTACAAGACAAACTCATTTAGAAAAAGAAAAAAACAATCTAATCAATATAGTAAGAGAAACAAGCTTGGACAAGATACTGAAAAAACAGAGTAAAAAAACAGCAGCGAAACATTGGTTTACCTTGTTCAAGCTCGTTCGTCTTTCCCATCTTTTTCTTATTGCAACGCGCGTGTCTCATTATTTTCTCCTATGATTTTGCGTTTCAACACTGAAGAAAGCTCTTGTGTATAGAAATGAAACTAGAGTATGCCTATTTTTTGTGCCTTTGTCTGCGTTATATTCGCGTTGTTCTGCTTTATCCATCGTGACTGAATTTTAAGCATATAAACTTACGAAATTAATACACACATTAATGTACATGATACACGAAATTGAAACAAATCATACCGTTTTTTTCAGTTACGAATGTTCACAATGTGACCCTTTTGTTTTACTTTTGACATACGACCCATAATCAGTTTTGCTCCACACATATTCTAGTTTCACACTGTCAACAATTCATCACTAATGCGATCTTGAAGTTCTTGCTGTATTTTTGACACCAGCATTTCATAAACAGTGTCTTGGGCATGAGAGTGATAGGTGAATTACCCTTAATCACCTTACCCAGAGTCGCGATGGCTCAGGAGATGGAGCGTCCACCTTCCAACGATGCGAACCGGGTTCGAATCCCAATACGAATTCCGCATCCAGCTCGCACCAACCACATTGCTGACGTGAAATATCCTCAGTGGGAGACGGATCATGGGTTAGAGTCCCCTTTCCGTCAGGCAAACCGTGGGGGGCTCTTATGGTCTTCCTCTCCATGTAACGCAAATGCGGGGTAGTTCCATCAAAAAGTCCTCCACGAAAACAAATTTCTCTCAATGCTCGATCCAGGAGTTCCCTTGTCTTCTGGATTGAGTTCAAAATTACAAGGCTACGGAGTTGCACATTAGCAGTCGTAAACCCATAAAATTGGGTCGGCTGTTCAATGACAGTTACAGAACAAAAAAAAAAGAAATCACCTTACCCTGAGATGCGATGGTTCAGGGGATAGAGTGCTCGTTTTTCAATGAGGTGAACCGAGTTCGTATTGATGAATTCGAATCACCCAGTGATAGCTGGAATTCCGTACACGGTTCGCTCCGACCACAGTACTGACGTAAAATATTCTCAGGGGTAGGCGGATCATAGGTTAGAGTCCCCTTGCCGTTAGGTTAACCGTGGGTGGTTTTCGTGGTCTTCCACTCCATGTTAGTTCCATCCAAAGTGTCCTCCGTGAAAGCAAAATTCTCTCAATACTTGATCCAGGATAGGGTTCAAAATAAGGCTACGGAGTTGAACATTGGTAGTCGTAAACTCTAAATTGGGCCGGCTGTGAAACGATGGTTATAAAGTAAAAAATAAAATTATCACCTTTTCCAATCGTATTTCTTTTTAAGGGGCTACGTCGAAGATACTGTTTTTAAACCACTAAAGCTTAAGTCACCGCAATAACTTTAAGAACGCATTTTTGCAGCATTAGAGAATCGCTGACAATGAGAAATTACAAAACGTGTGGAACTACATGCATTACAAGTTAGAGCTCAACAATAAAAGAGTAACACATAAAACATCTGGAAGTAAAAAAAAAGGTGCATTTTTTTATATTTGTGTAACTTTAAAATGTGCTATACACTTAAAATCATAAGTATTTAAAATCAGATCATACATTTGTGTTAAGCCTGTACAGTGCACAAAAAATTAAGTGAAATAACCTGAATAACTTTTGGTTTAATAACCGGATTTTCACTTCATTTTGACTCAACTTTAATGGTTCGTAGGGGTGATCTCTGCTAATTAATTAATGCAGACGATATTTTGTTTAACGAAATCAAACACCAAAATACCTCTCTGAATAAACATTCCTATTTTTCGATCCAATGGCCAAAAATTTGGTCAGGGCTGCTGTCGATAATTTGTAAAACTTATCATTTTACTTACAGTGTATTTCCTCATATCTCGAGAACTTTTTGAAGCGAATTTAAAAAAATCTTGCACGCAATTATAAAATTTGTTTGCCCAAAGAAACTTTCTTACAAAAAAGATCATTTTAGTAAATATTTATTCTTTTTTATTATTTTACTTATTAATTTTCGAAAATTATTTTAATTGTATGTTATACAAACTTTTACATCACTTTAAAGAAAGTAATTTTATATAGCAAATTAAAAAATTTGTACGAAATTGGTTGAATAATTCCTGAGTAATCGAATTTTAAATACCTGATTTTTCAAAATTTGACTTCTCATAAACGACAGACTTCGTTTAAATTTTGTATTTTACTATATAAAATTATTTTCTTTAAATTTATGTGAAAAATTTGTATACCTTACGATTTTAAATTGTTCGAATATTATTAAATAAAATAATATATTAATTTTTTTTTAATAAAATAAAATAATTATTAATAAACTAAAATAATTATTAAATTATTAAATAAAATAAAATAATTACTAAATTATTAAATAAACTAAAATAATTATTAAATTATTAAATAAAAAAAAATTAAATTATTAAATAAAATAAAATAATTATTAAATTATTAAATAAAATAAAATAATTATTAGATAAAATTATTTTTTTTATTTAATTATCTTTGAGTTGACATGACGAATATGAGATATGGCGAAGATGCAAAAGATATAGCGAAATATGCAAGAAGTAAAATTAACATTTTCACATTTCCTACTGCTCTGCTGGCCAAACAATTGGGACCATAATTCCCAGATTTTTGGGATAAATAATCATAATCCGAAAATTAAAAATTGAGTTCTAGTATGTGGTAGTCCGATCATTAGATCAAAAGTTTTTCAGTGTGTTGTTTGGAGACTTTACAATAAAAGTAAATTAAATTGTTACTAAACTGCACATAAAACTAAAGAAGAAATTTTTTTTCACTTATTGCTTTATACAAACTGCATACTGAACCATTTTCGAAATTTTTTAATGAAAATTAAAAAATTTAAAAATGGAATTTATGATGCCCTTTCTATGAGTTTCTTTAACATAACGGCCTCAAATTGACGATGCATTAAATTATTTATTATCTCCTTACCAAAAAGTATAATTTTTGAATGATAGTATAATTTGATAAGTATATAAAAGTATAAATCAAAAAGTATAATTTGATTTTGACGAAATAAAGCAGTCACGTGTTTGAAGTCAATCACAGTTCATGGAGAAAGAGGTAGGAAATTAAATTTCAAACAAAATTATGTTATAGAGCAGAAAAATGTATATTTTTGACAGTTTATAAAGTTATGTTTATAATTATAATTAAAACTAGTAGGCATATTAAAAATCCATGCTAACTTAAACATCAATTCCAAAATTTTAAAAGCATCTTTAAAACTTTAGACAATTCCATCTTATTTCCACTTGAGTCAAAAATATTTACATTACTATAAATGTAAAATTTTTACACAAATTTTACATTTGATAAAAAATAATAATAATCTTTATTAAATTCTAAATTGTTGACTGTTAATTTTTAAATCTATTTTTTGTCAAATTACACAAAATGTGTCATTAACGAAAAATATGCTCTAGCTAATTAATTAGTGATTTCTTCATCGCATATATTTCATTTTTAATTAGCCATCAGCTCAGTTCTTCAGCCCAAAAATATTTAATTTTTCAAGATTAAACTAAGTATGAACTAAGTATATCACAATTTCAATCAACCAAGTGCGAAATAAATTCTTGTCAGACCCTATTAAATAAGAAATATTGAATCATGGGTTGAATTTTTCAATTCAATTGAATCTAATAATAATTTTTAAAAAAAACTTAGTATACTCTTGATTTTTAAGTTCAAGCGAATCTAAAAATGAATTATCTAACAACCAGTTTCAAATTTTGTTTCATATTTAACCATGTTTTTTGAATTTGTACTCCCATTTCATTCATTATGGCCGAAGCCAAATTCCTACAAGACAAAAAATTTAAAATATTAAAAGGCTTACAGCTCCTTACCTGTAACAATAGTGTACCAGTTGGGATAAGAATTAGACGGAAAAATCGGAGTGACATAAGGCGCACGCACGCCATTCTCCGCTAATCTCCTAAAACCAGGAAGTCCTTTATCTCGGTCGGGATAATCCCACCTAAATCCATCCAAAAGAATGAGCAATAATTTATGACGAGATTTTCCGGACTGCTGTTTAATGGAACTGCTATAATATTCGTAACTCGAAGCCTCTCCGGAAAGTGCAGACCATAACAGAAGTAGTACAACTCTGCAAAACAACTGAGCCATGCTTTTCAAATGCAAGCTTTTCCCGATTCCGGGAGAAGAAGGAAAGAATGACTGTCCGGATTGCACTCCGGATCGTCTTCTGGCATATTTCACTCCCTGGGCCGCACTTAAAACAGTTGGGTGGAAAAACTTGTGGCGTTGAAAGTAGGAAAGGGGGGGTTGAGTACATATTGCATTTGACAGTAAGCTTCTAGCTTAAGTGAATAGAAGCTTATATCATGGTAGAATGAATAGACTTTTGCATTTGACGGAAATAAAGAGAAAAGCTTTTATTTTAGATGGCATTTAAAGCACTGCAAATGCTCCTGGAACATTTTGACAAGAACAAAAATATTATTTTCTGTTAATTAATTTAACTTAAATAAAGTACGTATATTTGCAACTATTTTCCTTTATTATAATAGTGTTATTTAACTTATTATTTGCGTAACAGGGGCCCAAATGAAAGATGTTTTAAGCAAACCACCATAAAACTTTTGAAAAACAACATATTTTGTTTCAACAAATAGAAGTTTTCATTAAAATATATAAAATTTTATAATTTCTTATTGTTATTGATTTATTTTAAATCCTATTATTTGTTAAGAATGGTGACTTTGTGAACGATTTTACACTTAAAAATTGAAAGTAGATCATAAATTAAACTCTTCCATGATATATTTAACTAAATATGCATTTTTTCCCACTTCTTTTAAAACTTTTGGCTTATCATTCAAAATGGGATCGTCACATATTCTGAATATAGAATATTTTGAATTCTAATAAGAGTTAAACTGTTAAATTTATTTATTGAATGAAATATTGAGAAACTTTGCATGAGTTGAAAATAGTCAAGCGATTATTAAATATTAAATCAAAGAACATTTTTTATAATTTAAGCAATAATAATGTTGATATTATTACAGACTTTCCAAATGCCAATATGAGCGTGTCGTATTCTTCGAATGATTATCTGGTATGTACAGCGAATATTAACCACTATTTTAATGATTATGTTAATCATTCATGTTACACACCATCTATGCGCTTTTCAAAGCACCTAATTTATTACAAAAAAAAACTCAAATTGAACAAAAACTATGTTTAAGTTTATTCACAATTAATTCACGAAATATAGAGCATAAATATTAAATAATCACTCTTCTTAAAAAAGATTACTATAGGCTTAGAATCTTGCACTCTGAGCAACACATATAAAATAATTTTATTATTGTTAGTAAATGTGTAACATTAAATTAAAAGAATATTATTTTGATAAATTTTATTTTGCAATTGAAAACATTCGAAAATGTTTGTATATTGAAAAAACTCCATATTAATTTACGGTATAAATTACCGGCACTTAGAGTGCATCAGTCGTAAAATCCATGTTACTGTAAAATCTATTTTTGCCAAAAAATATTATACCATAAATTTTACAGTAATATTTATTTAATTAGACTGATTCGGTGATTTTACTGTAGTTATTACAGAAAAAATTACGATACATCAGTTTTTTTGTTCCATAACGTGTTCCGTTGAAAATGGTTTTTGCGGCAAAAAGTACCAATACCCATTGTGCCAGTATTTTTTACTGTCAATTGATCAGAATTTTTAAACAGTGTAAGAGGAAACTGTATTCAAAACTGTATACTTCAAAATTCCACTACTTTTCAATTTTTTTTTGAATTTTACTTCCAGATAAAAATTTAACTTCAAAATGTCATAAATTCATTTTTTTAAGCTAAAATTGTTAAGATTTATTAAAAAAAATTTAAAATTTCGTTTAAAGCCAAAAATTAATTATAAGTTTTATTAGTTTATGGTTTGTCTATAAAATTAAATGTGTCATTGTGGCATAATACTATCACAATTTTGCCTCACGTTTTTATTAAATAAACAAAGATAAATAATGGTTTGAAATTATTTATTGACAACTAAAGATAAATAAATAAGGAATAGTGAAAAACTTCAATAATATCATAAATATTGATTTAATAAATAATATCACGTTGTTAGAATTTTCATTCTAAAATTATGATAAATAACTGTTAGCTGTCTGTCCATCCAATTAACCACAAAGTTTACGGCAAAGAATAATTTTTACCTTTAGAATTTTGAAACTGTTTGCAACTAGTATGGTTATCGAACCATGAGTACAAGATGATACGTTTTTTTACCATTTACAAATAGCATGATTTAAAAAACATAAGAAAATTGAACTGGATATTACAGTTCAACTTTTCGTTAAGTAATTGGCAATAGAGAGCGCATGACACTGGAAAAATTTCATACTTGGACTCGAACCCCCGTCCAGCCGATCATGAGTGTGACAGATTAGCACAGATGAGTGTGACAGATATTAAACACACCCATCTGTAAGGAACTAAGTGGCTTCATCAAGTTGGCTTAGTTGGTGCAATAAAATTCTGGTTGTTTAACCGCATTAAGTGAAAGCAGGTAATCAACGGTTTTTCTCGTTGTTAACAGTTTGAATAACATAGTTTTTTTTGTGGATATTAACTGTTATTTAAACATTTTTTCCGAGAAATTTCTATCAGTGCATAGTGGAACAAAATAAAATTTTATTTAAGTTATTCTAAGCAAGCTGAATAACAAAAGATTTTATTTAATTATTAATTATTATTATACTAAACATTTTTTCCGAGAAATTTCTATCAGTGCTTAGTGGAACAAAATAAAGTTTTATTTAAGTTATTCTTATCAAGCTGAATAACAAAAGATTTTATTTAATTACTATTATACTAAACATTTTTTCAGAGAAATTTCTATCAGTGCATAGTGGAACAAAATAAAGTTTTATTTAAGTTACTCTTATCAAGCTGAATAACAAAAGATTTTATTTAATTATTATTATACTAAACATTTTTTCCGAGAAATTACTATCAGTGCATAGTGGAACAAAATAAAGTTTTATTTAATAGTTTATTCTTATCAAGCCGAATAACCGAAGATTTTATTTAATTATTAATTATTATTATACTGAACAATTGAACTTTTTTGGGGAAAAAATTAAACTAGGCAAATAAAAAAAATAAAAAAATACAAATACTTTTCTTAACCTCTCTCCGTTTTAGATTATTACTTTTTTTAAAAAAATAAATTCCATATCAATAAAATGGTTTAAAACGTATGAAAAATCGATGTCATGCTTCGGGTTTTACTATTTTTGACTCTAAAGTAAAAATAAAAACCGTCATTTGAAAAGACTATAAAAATGGGTGAAAATTTTAAACGCCTTCTTTTATTGAGGCCGTAAGAAAAGATATGCTGTTATAGAACATAGTTCGAAAATTTTAGACTTATTCAGTTTAGTTTTATTTCTTTCCCGGGTGATAAAAACCATCTGAGCAGAAACAATAATCTTCCAATATAATCCAATATTGAATTAAGTATAAAAAACAAGAAAAGTTAACTTTATTTTCTGAATAGAAAAAATGTTATACACTAAGCAGTTACAGCAAACGGCATTTTTATAGATTTATTTTTACTTAAACATTGCTTTTATTTTTATATGTGCCACCCAAAACATTGCAGCAACTTGAAAGTTATACTTTTCTATGGTGCAAATATAACTTTTAATATTTTTCTAAAATAAATTTGTTAAAACGCCTAATCTTGTGATGAGCTCTTCCTTTTCCAAAAAAAAAATTTTTGTTTTAAACACTTTATGGTGTAAAGAATTTATATATTTTTACAAAAGCAACAAATTATCTAAACTTTCCTATGCTGTAAAAAACATTTTTTAACAATTTTATCTGTTTTGCAAGATAAAATGGCTATAAATCATTTATTGGGAAAAATTTCTTTACTTTTTAACAAAATTTAAAAATTAATTACGAAATCATAAAAGGAATGAAACAAAAAAAATATTTAATCCGACTCAACTAATAAACTTCATTTCAATGAAAAAGATGGCTAAATGTCTCTTTATTGTAAATAAGTCCTTTATTTTATTTATATATTTTTACAAAAACAACAAATTATTTAAACTTTCCTATGCTGTAAAAAAGATTTTTTAACAATTTTATCTGTTTTGCAAAATAAAATGGCTATAAATCTTTAATTGGGAAAAATTTATTTATTTTTTAACAAAATTTGAAATTTAATTATGAAACCATAAAAAGAATGTAACAAAAAAATTTTTTAATGTGACTCAACTAATAAACTTCATTTCAATGAAAAAGATGGCTAAATTTCTCTTTATTGAAAATGAGTCCGTTATTTTATCGAAGATTCCTAGAAAAATTGTTTAAATTTTCTTCTATTGTAAATAACTTTTCACTTGGACAAAAATAAGATAATTACACTTTTCTATGTTGAAAATATTTTGACGAAGACTAATTGGTTAAACTTTTCTTTATTGTGAATAAATTCTTTATTTTGTCAAAAATAGGTGAATTAAACTTTTAAACTTATAAAGTGCTTCTCCATTTTTACCAAAATAAACATTTTTTTACTTACAAGAAATCAACTTATTTAGATTAAAGAGCGAATAAAGTAAGTAAATAACTTTTTCTTGTCGAGGAAAAATAATATGTTTTTGACTTTTCCATGGAATTAACGTTGCATCCTGATACACTTAAACAGCGATTTAAGTGCTTTCAATGTCTAAAAAAGACTCAATTAAAGTGGTGAAGATATATTTGACATTTCCCGCTTCTATCGTGTCATTGCAAATTTAAATAAATAGACAATTCCTTTATCTGAAGCTTGCGCCTTACAAAAATTCAAATCATAGATTTACAGAAATATCTATCACGCCATTATTGTAAATTTAAATAAAATGCTAATTCCTTTATATTGTAACTTGTTCAAAATAATTATCCGAAACGTTTCTATACAAATTATGAGATGGATTATATGGATTTTATAATATGAGAATTGATAATATAAGTTGGGTGGGAAAAATATGAATTTATCTCCCTACACGACGAAAAGAATTCTGGTAAAATTACCTTTTACTTGGTAATGACATTACTGGTTTAAAAAAAAACATCATAATTCTTATTAATAATACCAATATATACAGTATTTTAACCATTAATTTTCTAGTTTTTCCAT